TGGAATAGCGCCCTCTGCCAACTCACAAAGAAATGTAGAATGGATGAGAAACATTCTTTGGTTTTATAAGCTAGTACAACATGTTGAATTGCTTTTTTCATGGTAAGAAGTAGCTCCTTCTGACTGATAAAATACAACTATACAAAATTCAAACATGTGGACACATATAATATAGAAATTAAACACCACAACCCTCAAAAAAAATCACAATTAACATTTTTTATGTTCTAGTCTTTTCTCTATGTTTTTACATATATGCATGTGTTTAGTTAAAATTACTTATAATTATTATTTAAAATTAGTAATGTTGAACACATATATGGTTTGAAACATCAAGTAATATTACAAAACATATAAACTCCTGTCTCACTTCTCTCCTGCCTCTATCTCCCCGTAGATAACACCTTTTTGGTATCTCCTTTGACACTAACTCATTTTAAATTATATGATTATATGTGTAGTTACTGATTTTTCAATCGTAGACATGATTGATTGGCATCTTTTTATTAAAGATAAAGTATGAAAATTCTCCCATCAATCCCTGCATCTCTACTCAAGAAACACCACTTCTTCCTCCCCATCTTCATAATATGGTCACTTGAATTTTCCCTTAAATTTATATTTGTTATTAAAATTACTGTGCATATATCATTAGTAATATGTGAATAATACTATGACTAACACTATGAGCATTACTAATAGTAATTACTAGCATTATGAATAATACAATTGATGAATGCAATTCTCTTCTTGCACAATTATTTGATTTTCATAGAGTTAATAGTTTTCTCTTTCATTGTACCTACTTTCCCCCAAACTTCCACAGAACTGTAAAGCCTGTCTTATGGAGACAAACTAATCAATGATTTATAATTGACGTGCTTTCTTCCTGGGGGCCCTCTGTGCTCCTGTTGGAGTCTGCACTGGTTGCTGTCTCCATCTGCTGCACAAGTGTTATCTGGAGACAGTGATTGCTTCCATTGGTTTAAAATGTTCATTCATTCAACTTATGCTGATTACTGGGCAATATGTTACAAACTGGAGATTCAGCAAGAAACCGGACAGAAAATGTGCTTTGTTGCATTTGAGGAGGGAGGGAAGTTAGATAGCAAGGCACGTAAACAGATAAAACGTTTCAGGTATTGATAAGTGCTGTGGAGAAAGTTTAACAAGGTAATATGAAAGACGGTGACTTGGCAGCCTCAGAAGTGAGGCTTATACTAATGTGTCAATTTCAATGGATGGGAAAGGACTCTTGGAGAAAGAGGCATTTAATCTGTTTCATATTGAAACAGAATAATGTGGTGGGATAACGTTTGGTTATGAAGTTATTCAGACCTGAGTCTAAGTTTTAGTTTTATTATTTATTTCTTAGTTGGGTAAGCTTAAGGTAGTTACCTCTCAGGATCAGTTTATTCAACTGCAAAACATTGTTAGTGACACCCATCTCATGGGATTATTGTGAATATCAAATTATTTGTAAGATAACTTTTCCTGTATTACATTGCTCTGAGTTTAATTTTAGACTCATTTTTAGGAAACTTTTCCAAGCATGGGAAGAATGGTAGAAACAATAAATTAAATATTAGTTAGTCATTTATATATTTAAAATATACTTTGTTATTATCTGTCAGGCACTTTACTAGTAGTTATCAGTTTCTTCGACCTGTTACGTCCCATGTATTTTTCTTCTTGAAATTAGTCATTTATACCAAGTATTATTTATTCACACATCTTAAGTATCCCATCAATGTGAATGCTCCTTTAGAGTAAGGATATATTTTCATATTTGTAATCTGAAGATTAAATAGCATTGATCTTTGCACTAAGTGGTACGTTTTTTATGTGAATTTGTTAAAAGACAATGTAGGAAATATGTTAAGAGAGTTTGAAGTGATGAAGACAATTGCCTGAATTCCGTTTCATGAGAAGTTGTGTCCCCAGGATATTTTAAATTTAGTCTTTAGTATTATCTAAAGTATTGCCCTAGTACTTGGAGCAGACATTTGTTTTGAACATCAGTGAAGTATAAAATATGGATTTTTTAAAAAAACAAACATGATTTGAGAAAGTATCGTGCTTCCAATTAATGTTTGTCCCCGTGAGGATGTTCCCCATTGGGATTCCATTTGTAATTGCTTCTTCTTGAAACTGTGGGAAATCTCCTGAGATAAATGCCAGTGCTATATAAATTCTATAGCACTGACCAGAATTTGACCTTTTGGATCATTAAGAAGACACTCTTATTTTCACAGGTAGGAGAGGAAATGTGTTTGTATATTAGTTTTCAATATCTTGTAATCTATTCTTTTCATCAAATTGCATACTTTTTAGATATTGATGTATTGAAATAAGCAGTTTTACAGGAAATTTGCACACACAATGCATTATTCATGAGAGAAAAATCCATAGGGTGTTTACTCAACTCTGTCTTTCTCTTTATATTATCAGTGTTTTTTATTCATTATGGTAGATTTTCATAATATAGATCTCCAGCAGATGTTTCACTAAAATTAGTTTCAAATAGCATTCCTTTTGTGTTTTCCATTTGCTTAATGTCTTGGTGTTTGCTGTCACCAATTTCCATAAGAAAAAGACAAAGTGAAAATTTAGGCCTATGTGGTTTATTAATGGTTTAAAATTTTTCTGACTGCTAATAAGTCAAGGAGATGCTCAAATAGACTTTTTATTGTGACCATTAAACATATGGAGAACTTAGCTTCAGTGTATGTAGGTAAAGGGTTTAGACTAGAACATCTCTAAGTCCTTTATGGTTCTTATTAATAAGATTCTGGATTCTTTTTGAATATTCTGTTTCGGTCTAGGACCTGGTTTTTCACAAACCATGCTTGTATTCCAGGGAATCTTTTTACAAAAAAAATTTTTTTTTTTAGTCAGTATACTTGAAATATGAGTCAGTTTGATGATACTGAAAGAACTAAATTGGGTCAAGGACCTTATGACATTTAGTTGAGGAGAAGGATTCTCATCTCCATTTTGTCAGGTCGCAGATGTAGTCATCACAGTTGCTGACTGCATCTGAATGTTTGCTGTGCGTGTTTCTTGATTCTTAGCAGTAGTCTGACAGGTCTCCCATGGGCTATATCTTTATATTAGCTATCTCTGTTTGCCACAGTCGCACAATTCTAGAACTAAAATATGGTTAGTGACAAAAGTTTCCACTAAAAAATGATATGTGCCTATGGCTAGTGAGATCTCAGCAAAATCACAAATCTCCTTAGATTCTAAGTCAGTACTATAATCTAGACCTTGAACTGGGGAAATTAGTTGCTCATGAGCTGAGAGTTAGAAAAAGATCTGTTGGCTTACTTCTTGCCAGTTGAATCACACAGTATTTAGGCACTATCCTAGATTTTTGGCCCAAATTTTCTCCGATTTTTAAAAGGGCACTGATACCATCTTTCTTCTCAATCTTCCATCTCTTACCATTGTTAGAATATCTGGTCTGTCCTTATTATCTATACAAAAAAAATGCCAACTCTAGTTCAAGATTCTATTTTATTCATATTTGTTTTCTCCAGTAGCCTATAGTGCAATCATTGGTGCAGAATAAGGAGGCAATAATATTAGATAAATTGGATTTTAACTGTTTTGACAAGAGTTATTCTCCTTCCCCAAGCAATCCACTCAAGTGAGAGGAATTAACGAACTTTCCTGGGGAAGTAGCATGTTACAGACGAAGAACACTAAATGGGGAACTGTAATATCTGGTTCCTCTCCTGGTATTCCATTTCAGAGTTGTGAGCCAGGGTCACAGTGTTAAATTTTGTAAAACGGATGACTCGCCTAACTGAACCTATTACCTCTATCTTGCCCACCATCTTACTTCTAGCATCCAACACCATGTCTGGAACTTGAAAGGCACCCAGTCATTACTTGTCATAAGCATATATACATGAATGAATGGCTCACGAGGTTTTATAAAGTGACTTAAAGTGTGTCTGAACTATAAAGTGTAATGTTGATGAGATGGGTACAATTTTTGAAGGACCTCATAATAAATAATAGCTAAGAAGATGAGATTTGAAATCAGAAGGTCCAAAAAACCATCTGTGTATCTTGACTGTAAAATGGAATGACATAGTATCTATTTCATAGAGTCATTGTTGGAATTAAGATAATACCTGGAAAGTCCTTTAATATGGTACATGGACTATAAGAACACAACAAATATTGCTCTGTAGTTATACTTCCACGCAGTAAATTAACCAGATCTATTAGTTTCATTTATATTCTCAGGTCTGCTGAAAAATGTGCTACTCACATCAATATCCTGAGTGTGTTCAGAGGGTATGAGAAGTCTTACACAGTCTCTGACAAGTTCTTTGACAATGACATTTGCTAATGCCAAAATTGTCCCATGGAAAAAGAATATTTAGATGTAAACTTCATTGTATGCAATTGTTCGTATGTGAAGGTTTGTTTATAAATTTGTATTCGGTGAGACATATAATACATCAGTAAATCACCAAACTGGGAAATACAAAATGAAGTTCTGACAGATGAGTCACTTTGTCTCTCTGCAACTTAGTTTCTTGGTGTTCAGAATGAACTTTACCTGTGTTGTCTTCAAAGTACCTTCTGACCTCCTATGTATCTTGTGTACATATGAAAGAATGCAGACAGGGATTCTAAGCATTTCTAAATTTATGTTATAATTTCTTCTTTGACATGTAGTTTATCTAGATTTTTAAAAGTTTCTCAAAGTGTAGGGCTACTTAAATTTATAATTTTGTCTTTAGACTTCAACTTAATTATACGGTGTGATTACAAATACAACCTGAGTGAAAATCATTTGTTGAAAAACCGTTAGACTTCCTTCATGGTGTATTCATTCATATCTAATATGGAAATGCTACTGAGATAACATAACTAAGGCCTTTGGGATCTTCTTATAATATTTAACCTGATACAATATTCAGGTTTTTTATCTCTCTCCTTAGACAGTCAAACCAATGCTTCACATATGAGACAAAGAAATGTCCAGAGGAAACTACACTGAAGTGGCAGAATTTATTCTCTTGGGCCTGACAAGCCGTCCAGAGTTGCGAGTTGCTTTTTTTGTGTTGTTCCTTGTGGTCTACACAGCCACTGTGATAGGAAACATGGGCATGATTGTTTTAATAAAAATTGATTCTCGGCTTCACACTCCCATGTACTTCTTTCTCTCAAGTTTGTCTGTTCTAGATCTGTGTTTCTCCACAAATGTCACTCCCAAAATGCTAGAAAATTTCCTGTCAGAGAAGAAGACCATCTCATACGCAGGGTGTTTAGTCCAGTGCTATGTTGTCATTGCAGTGGTCCTCACAGAGCACTGCATGCTGGCTGTCATGGCGTATGACCGCTACATGGCTATCTGTTATCCCTTGCTCTACAGTAGCAAGATGTCCAAGAGTGTCTGTGTCCGCCTGGTCCTTGTCCCTTATGTCTATGGCTTCCTGCTCAGCCTGATGGAAACCTTGAGGACCTACAACCTCTCTTTCTGTGGTGCTAATGAAATAAATCATTTCTACTGTGCTGATCCTCCTCTTATCAAGCTGGCATGCTCTGACACCTACAGCAAAGAGTTGTCAATGTACATAGTTGCTGGCTACAGCAACGTGCAGTCCCTCCTGGTCATTCTCACATCCTATATGTTCATCCTTGTCGCTATCCTCAGGAGCCATTCTGCAGAAGGGAGAAAAAAAGCTTTTTCCACATGTGGCTCCCACCTGACAGTGGTCTCGATTTTCTATGGAACCCTCTTCTGCATGCACTTGAGACGTCCCACAGAGGAGTCTGTGGAGCAGGGCAAAGTGGTGGCTGTGTTTTACACCACAGTAATCCCCATGCTAAACCCCATGATCTATGGCCTCAGGAACAAGGATGTGAAAGAAGCATTGAGGAAAGCAACAGGGAAACAAAAATTGTGGAAATAAAAGTGCTAACCTGTCATTAAAAACATCTCCAGACATAGTAAGATATGATGTTGTTGGGTTAGACATCTCTTTTTAAGTTAGCTTTGCACAATACAGTTTTAACTTTCTGTGTTGAGTAGCTGGCTAGGTAAACATTCCTGAAAGCAGTGGTTGAAAATGGGAAAAATAGGAGGTAACATTTATGCAATTCACTCACATTCCTATATCAGCTAGTCTCATTTTTTACAATAACAACAACAAAATAGTGGCTTAAGCAAATCAGAATTTTCATTTTGCTTTGTTTTTCTGTTAGGTAAAAGAATTCTGGGGGTTAGCGGTCTCTGATTTGTATGCCAGCTTTACTAGGTTTGGTTTTTAAACCCGGTACAGCTTGTTTTACTTTAAACATGGCTTACATTCTTAAGGTCACTCTATGATGCAAAATGGCTGCTAGAAGCCAGCCCACATGTGCAAATGTTCTTCAGATGTTCTAAGTGTTCTGTATAACATGTTTTCTTAGATCTCTTGGGCCAAATTTAATCAAACCTCCCTGCAAGAGTGCATGGGAGAAGTTTATTTCAGGACACTGTATATCAGGCTTAGAGATGAGGGTTCTACCTCCACCCCACTGGTGAATAGCAATCTCCACTCCTTTGTTAAAAATACCTCACTTTCACCCCTTACTCATAAGTGATGACTTCCTTACCCACTTCCAGTGATTCCCAACACTTGAAATGAATAACATTTTATTTCACAGACGATGGGAAGACCTTAGACACCTGATAAAGTGTCCACACATATTGTTGAGTGAAATCTCTTTTAAAAATATTTTGTCACATAAACATGTTTCTAGGGTCTCAATATTACAACTAAGTAAGCCTTTCCTTACAGCATCAGAAAAATGCCTTTATGGGTGTGTTTTCTAAATGCATCTGGCTGTTTTAGAAATCAACATTACATAGAAGATTGTGTTTCCTTTGTGTAGGCTGATGGTGCCTGGTATCTAATTTTTAAACTTTTCCTAGCTTTCTTTTTGTGTATGTGTGTATTCAAGGAACTTTCCTTAAAAAAAATCACAAATGAATCATTTTTAATAGTCATTAACTAAAGTTATTTTATAAATCACGATGTTTTGGTTTAGTTGAGCTTAGATGTCAACATGGGCAGTAAGGCTCACTCATATGCAAGTAAGAGACTTACTCCCTTCTTATCTTCCACCCATTTCCTTCACCATCCTAGTATATGGGATTCTAATATGGTCTCAGCCAAATTATAATATGCCTTAATCCTAGGGGGTTATCAGAGAATGGTCAAAATTGCTAATATTTAATCAATGAAGAACAGGGGTGCACTACAATTTTCTTAGCTTCTCTATTTGTTGATGTTATCTCTTAAAATGTCTTAGCAATTAAAGCAAAGATGCAGTTATCATCTGTGACAGAGGAGAGGACTTGTGGTCTTCAGGGACCATTGTCATGACAGGATATTCTGTAAGTGTGAAACTATTTGCTGTCAACAAGTTCGAACTCAAGAATCTTACATGTCTAAATTTTTGGATTTTATGAAATACATTTTCAATAAAATGGTGACTTATTGAAAAAAAAAGAATCAAGAAAGAGTTAGAATCAGCTTACTTTGCCAGTCTGAGAAGCACATTATCCAAATCTCAAATACTGAATATAGAAACACAACTCTTTGGAATCATAGACTGAGTTACTAGGGAGTGAGAGAAGCAACACCTAGTAGAGGGATATACCTGATATGCTAAGTACTGGTTAAACCTGATGGTGTTTCCTCTTATATGTAGCCATGTTTTATAAAAGATAAGGGAGTGGACACAGTAGACGTTCATATTCAATAATTTTCAGCACTTTAAAAATTATGTTAACCAATAAAATCTAGCCATTAGTTCAATAAATAAGGCTTTGGCTTGAAAACGGTTTTGCCAGGAGAGGTACAATTTATCAATATGTTAATTGTTACGAGAAAATGGAATATGGTCATTAGGGTTTGTGAGTGTTTATTAAAAACTTGTTGACTCCTAGATGGTCCAAACAGTCTTACTCTTTAGGTTATGATTTTTAATAATTCTATTCATTTAATGTTAGTTAATATTATACAACTATGTATTACATACATATTAAACAAAGAAACAGTGACTCAGAAATAAATAAATGTGAAAGTTGAATTTATTAAAACATCTAGAAAAATATTCTAATTTGGAGGAAGGGGAGAGACAAAAAGTAAGCTAAAAGTTTTCAGGCTATGTTTGCTTGAGAAACAGAGAATCTATGTCCTTTATCCAATTTCTCTGCATTAGGTTTGGGAATTGATCGGAGATAAACATTCATTTTATTAGATTTGTAGAATATGAGTACTAGGGTGTCCTGTATTTTTTTTTCTATTCACACTATTGTAAGATACAAGTTCCCAACATAACAATGATTATAGCATGTGTCTAGAGATGTAGGGTTTCAGTCTCCCAAGACCTTCTGTGGTCGAGTATAGTGGGTAGCTCTAAAATGTTCCCTGGTTTTGAATGGGAAAAGTGGTATATAAAATTGGCAAAAATTAAGAGGTCACAGAGTTCTAAATATGAAAGACTCATCAGGATGAGAATATATCACTAGAATATAAGCTTCATGAGAGCAGGTATTATTATTTTTTAATTGTATCCCAGGCACATAGTAAATGGAGAGAAGAATAAATAAATAAATACACAAATAAACAAACAAACAAATAAAGAAATATCAGTGTCAATAGATGACAACACCAAAGTCAATAATTGTGTTTTCCAATGCCTTGGAGTACATTCGTTCTCTAGAATTCAGGCACAACCCTGTGGAAAGCAGAGAGAGAGATGTTAATCAAGTTAAATTTCTTGTACTTTGAAAAATGGAGGCTAAAAATATTAATTAAGCTGAATTAGAGGAATAAAGTTGCTTCTTTGTAATACAGAGATTGTGAACTGAGAATTATACCCATCACATTTGCAAACAATTATATTTATCAATAAAAATTAAAATCATATTTCTCAAGCATGTTAATTTATTTTCTCTTCTAAATGGACAGAAAAACATGATTTTGAATAGCTATCCTCCTTTAAACATGTGGACGATAGCTATTAAAAATCATGTTCTACCAATAAAAATTATTTATTAGGAAATTTCTTTTATGGTTAACATCAATAAATAAAAAAAAAGTGTTGGTGAGGATGTGGAGAAAAGGGAACCCTCCTTTACTGTTGGTGGGATTGCAAATTGGTACAGCTACTATGGAAAACAGTATGGAGTTTCCTCAAATACTTAAAAATAGAACTACTATATGACCCAGCAATTCCACATCTGGGTATTTATTTGAAGAGTCCAAAACACTAATTTGAAAAGATATATGCAGTTCTGTGTTCACTGCAGCACTATTTACAATAGCCAAGATATGAAAGCAGCCTAAGTGCCTGTCATTAGACGACTGGATAAAGAAGTGGTACATATATACAATGGAATATTAGTTGGTCATAAAAAAATGAAATCTTATCATTTGCGACAACATGGATGGACCCTGGAGAGTATTATGCTAAGTGAAATAGTCAGACTGAGAAAGACAAATATCATATGATTTCACTTACATATGGAATCTAAAGAACAAAATAAACAAACAAAAAAATCTAAACAGGAACAAACTCATAGATGCAAAGAACAAAATGTTGGTTGCCAGATGGGACGGGAGTTGGGAGGCAGGGTGAAAAGGTGAAGGGATTAAGTACAAATTGGTAGTTACAAAACAGTCATGGGGGTGTAAAGTAAAACATAGGGAATACAGTCAATAATATTGTAATAACTATGTATAGTGCTAGGTGAGCACCACATTAATCAGGGGGATCACTTCATAAATTATATAAATATCCAACCACTCTGCTATACACCTGAAACTAATATAAAATAATAGTGAATGTCAACTAACTGAAAAAAATAAATTCAAAAAGAACTTTTTTGCAGTGTTAAAAAAATAGAACAAAACAATATAAAAAACAATGAAAAACTATCATCCTTAATTAGTATCAACTTCAATCTTAATTGAGTTTCAGAGAAGTATATTAATTCTTTCAGACAAGGAGAAACCCATTTGAAGCTCATCAATGATATGTGTATGTAACATATATCCTCCTTTATTCTCTTTTTTTACAACTCTTTCTTATTGAAAAATGGAAGGAACTTTATTAATACAAAGAATTGTGCTCATGAAGTACAGATTATTTGCAATATATGTTGTAATTGATGCAATACTGACATGATTATTCTCACATAGGAAACTAAAACAAATGGCACTATCTCATCTTTTCTTATGGCAAAATAGTCACCCCAGTAAACTTTAATTAAAAAAAAAGCAAACTCAACCGTCAACTCTTCCTCTAGAGATGTACTTCCCCTAGGGTAATTTCTGGGGAAGGCTTCTTAATTGTTTCTGTTTTCCTGTGGCAAAGATTTAAGGAAACATCTCTGGTGGACTACTGGTTTGTCTTTTGTCTGATATATATATATATATATATATATATACACACACACACACACACACACACACACACACACACACACATATGTTGTTTTCCATCTCTTATACAGCATTCAATTTTCAACTCTATACCCTTACTGGGAATATTTCTCCTCATTCCCAGGTTGGCATAAAAATGCATCTACCTGGAACTGTTAGATGAAGGTTGCATCTTGGGTTTTAGTCTTTATTAATTAATATTGATTTTTCCATATGTATTATCTGTGTATTATCTGTTATTTGTGTATGTGAAAGTGACAGAGAAGAGAGAGAGAGAGAGAGAGAGAGAGAGAGAGAGAGAGAGAGAGAGAGAGAGATTGAGAGAGAGGGAGAGAGAGAAATTTTCTAGAGATTTGATTATTACAAACTATTAATGGAAGCTACAATTTCCAGGAGTTCATTTAATAATAATTGTGCCTTATATATTTATTATGTATCAATGTGTAATATCTCTTTTCATGCTCATAAACACA